GGAGAATATTTGCAGAGACTATTTTGATCTTAACCTTACTTCACTTTGATTTCCTGACAATTGTTCACTGTAAGGAATAGCACTGTAAAAAGTGAATTTGCAAGGGAATTGAAATATCTAGGCCAAAATAATAAAATTAGGAAAAGTATCCAATTCAACTCTTTTTTTCAATTTACCTTGGCCTACAAATTGCAATTTTCTTAACAATTCACCTCACTGTTTAGTGGATAGACCCTATTGTATAGTAGCCTACTTAAATAAAGCAGAACATTTGGTATTAAAATCAATAGGGCCCTAGGCACATTTTCTATAATTATTATTATTATTTTGGGAAAAAATCCTCGATCAAGGACCTGCAATCTGTCATGGGCATGGAACTGGTATGTTGGGGTAAAATTAAAGGACTTGCCCTCAAGGCACCTTCTGACCTCACTAAGTCTCTGATACAGACTTGTGTTTGGTGCTAAATACATATAGTAGGCTCTCTTGGGCCAGTCAGGAAAGCACAACATCATATGCACTGATCAGAAAGAACCACTGACAGGTGAAGTGAATGGGCACGTGAACATCAGAACCCTACCAAGGAGTAAAAGAAGCAGGTTGCCTAATCATGTTTTTTTTTTTTAGATCATGTGGATAGTCAGATGGCCGGGCAAGTCGTTTACCTGGGGAAGCCGATACACTATGGGATGAAGGCAGGCTGGCGGAGGCAGTGTTATGCTCTGGGCAACGTTCTGCTGGGAAGCCTTGAGCCCTGGCATTCATGTGGATGCTACTTTTACACATAACACCTATCTAGAGATTGTTGCAAACTATGTACAATACTTCATGACAAAGGTGTTCCCTGATGGCAGTGGCACTTACGCTCTGCTGAAGACTTACGTCTATTTTCTGTCCGTACTCCTGTGGGACTCACTTCCCTCCTCCATTAGTTGCCCACCCAGTCTCCACTCCTTCAAAAAATCATTAAAAACCCACTTTTTCATAAAGGCATATCAATTAAACTGTTAATAGCTCCCAACTGATTCCTCTCTTGCAACTGTCATTAGTCTAATACTATCCTTACCTTTTGTGTCACTTTACCCCACTACCTCTAGCATGTAAGCTCATTGAGCAGGGCCCTCAACACGTCTGTTCCTGTGTGTCCAACTTGTCTGGTTACAACTACATGTCTGTTCGTTTACCCACTGTAAAGCGCTGCAGGAATTTGTCGGCTCATATAAATAATAACATAATAATAATAATAATAATAATAATAATAATTTGTTACTTATATCTTTTCTATGTAAATATCACAAAGGTACTTGTCCATTGAGTTCTCAAACTGCCAATTTTAATGTACACATGGAATAAAATAGCACTAGAAGGTGCAGTAAAAATGTGATCTAAGCCTTAGATTGTGTCACGGTAGTGTACCCCAACACGCAAGATTTAGTCCAACAAGAGACAAGATAAAGAAGATACGTCTTACCGGGCCTTAGAATGGCCGGACTCAACGTAGAACAGAGAAGTGACAGAGTCAGGAACGAGCCGAGGTCAAGGGAACAGCAAGACAGCGAAAACAAGAACTAGCCAAGGTCTGGTACACAGGAGTCAGGAAGCCGGCAAACAAGACAAAGCAGGGATAAAGAGAAAAACGGAGTCAGGTACAAAGCCAAGGTCAAGCACGAAAAAAACACTACTGAACAATACAAGAACTAAAGGGAACTGAGGCAGAAACCACGATAGGGCAGGGAGCTAAGGGAAAGGTGAGTATAAATACCCTAGTGTTCAATTTAATTGGCCCCTGTCATATCCACGCCCACAAAATGCAAGTGTATGGGGAATGTGGAATGACATGGGCCAATGGGAGACCGTTTTACATTTCGGCTCCCACTGTCCCTTTAAGGGTGCGCCCGAGATGCGCAGCGCGCTCCCAGAGCCAGGTGAGTCACATGACCGCGTCTCACGGTCAGTGCACGCCTTCCTGATTTCTCGGTAAGTTGCAGGACCGCACGCGGCGGGAACAGAGGACCTCGGCCGGCCCCCAGAGAGGGTAAGTACCGCTACAGATTGTACATAATGGGGTAACCCAAAATTTGTAGACTCAGTCCAAAGAGCAAAATATGGAAAGAAACCCATACCAGAATAATGTCTGGTTAATTACACAAAAAAGGCAAGGGTACCAGTCTGTTCAAAGGTACCATTGCAAGGATTTTTCCTGTAATGGAGAGCAGTGTTATCCCTTGATAGTTGGAGCAGTTAGACTTTTCTCCCTTTTTCCTATAGCGGGGGATGATTATAGCGTCACAGAGGTCTTGCAGTAGTTTGTCTTGTTTCCAGCAGAAAACATGAAGTTTAGTGTGTAATGCTGTGCCCCCATATTTCCAGACTTTAGGTGGAATTCCATTGACTTCTGCTGCCTTGACACTTTTCAGCTGCTTGCTAGCCTTAACAGTCTCTTCAAAAGTAGGAATCTCATCTAAAACAGGTTTTTTTGGCTGTTGTGGGATGTGATGAAGTGCAGAAATGTGTATAGTGTGTGTTAGGTGCTGAAGAGAGACTGGAAATGTTCTGACCACTGGTTCAGGGTGGACGCCTTGTCTGTGAGGAGTGTTTAAAATCTGCACTGCGCAAGAGACTCTGTAACTGGTGTGAAGGGCCATACACTGCCTTCAGGGACTCATAAAATCCTCGGAAGTCACCAACATCTGTGCTAAACTGAGTTCTCTCTGCAAGGCTTGTCCACCACTTGTTCTTAATCTCTCAGAGCTTGCGCTGGAGGTTTCTGTAATCAAGAGGCTGCTTTCCTATCAGAACAAGATGACTGAGCAAGGTGCGCTTGGTGAGAAGATTTCTTCTTCATCAGCAATTCTTGGATCTCCTGATTGTTCTTATAAAACATCTGTGTTCTTCTTTGTGATGAACCCTAAAACCTTTTCGGAGGTCTGCAAGATGGCAGATGCTAGAAATTCTCAAAACTCTTCTGAGGAGGGCTCCACAAGGCAGCTGAAGCCTCAACTGAAGACTTGCTTAAAATTTGTATTCACCCCAGCTGAGTGGAGATTACCAATCTGATACCTTTTCTTTGGAGCGCCTCTCCTCTTCGGTTTGGGTTTTAAGTGGAGACATATCTTGCATCTTACAAGATGATGGTCCACATGACACTCTGCCCTGGGCATTACTCGAGTGAGTAGGATGTCTCTAATGTCTCTTTGGTGCACCATGATGTAATCTATAAGATGCCAATGTTTGGACCGAGGGTGTATCCAAGTTGTTTTCAAACAATTGTGCTGGTGATGGGAAATTTATGTTCTGCACAAAACTCTAACAGAAGGCACCAATTATGGTTGCAGTTTTCAACACCATGTTTGCCTAGTACTCCTTTCCAGGCTTCTAAGTCCTTGCCCAATCTGGCATTAAAGTCACCTAGGATGATAACCTTGTCATCTGCAGGGACGTTCTGCATGAGGTTGAGTAGTTCAGTGTAAAACTTGTCGTTTTAGCAGGACTTGCTTGAATTAGGGCATACATGCAAAATAGCATGACAATCTGCTTGTTTTAAAGTTGAAGGCGTGTGGAGATAATGCAATCTGAGTGATACAATGGAGAAATGGAGACAGTTTTTGGTTAGATCACCATTTCTAGGCCCCTCTCTGAGTGGAGCAAGCACTGCTATCCATAGGTAATATAAAGCTAAAAGGACAGTTTTAGAGTTTATAAACACCTGAGGCTCAACATCTGTGTTGCATCCCCTTTACCCACACACAAAATACAAAACATTATATATACACTAGGAGGAGATTTTGAGAAGAGACATAAAACAAAAATAGTGCAATATTGTTGATCCACATAATTTAGAAGTAAGAAATAAATGGTAAGTTGCACTCACAAAATAAGAGCGAGTAAAAATACTTGGATTAAAATTCTTGTGCAGTAAGATATGGCTGCCTGGTTGTTCAGGGTGTTGCTGAATGATTTTGTCGTCTCTGAGGTCGACATCAGACAGTCCATACATCTGGACCGTCTATATGCAGGATCAGAACTGCAGCTTCCAGTGTTATCTTCCACCTGCCATTTTGCCCCTTTCCCATCACTGCAGGGCTTAATGACCATAGACATGGACATACCATTCTAGTCTGCGCAATGGAGCATTTAGGTGAGGATCAGGGTGCGCAATAATGGCCCACTCTTTACATATGGGGTTCATCTGCCATTGCCCAGCAAGCTGGGACAGTGACAGTGAGGTCCCCAGGTCATAGGTGTTATATTGGAGGGTCCTTCTCCTAGATGAATGATCTGATCAGCTTCTATCTTAGTATCAAGAAATAGGAGCATACAAGGTCAATTTAAAATGGAACTTGGTAAACAAAGTGGTTGCGTGATATTCTGTATCAGGAAAATGTTACTATCAGTGTAATGCAATATATATATATATACAGTATATATATATTGTTCTTCTGGCCACATACACGTATTCATTTACCACATATACACTGCAAATATTTTTGGATAAATTGGGCTTGTCTACTGTAGACAGGGCTTGAGAAGATGTGTTACCCTAGGGATGTGGCTGAGAGAGATGACAGACAATCCACCTAGGTGTTTCATCTTGGGGCAACGAGCAAGTTTGAAGTTGAGAAAGGGCACATGTATCAAGATTGGGAAACCCACACACACACACACAGAGTATAGGGAAACATTAAATAGAATGAAGGAATATAAGGAGAGAAGGTATGTATACGGGACCTTAGAGTGGACGGGTTAATGTGTGCCCTAGATAGGCGAATCTACAGAGTGAAAATAGAAAGCCACAGTCAAGGACAGAAGAGATATTCAAAAACAAAATAACAAGCCGAAGTCAGGAAACCAGAAAATCAGGAAAGTCAAAAACAAAGCCGAGTCACTAACGAGAAAATGAAATAACAACTACACAGAGCGGGCAGAATAAACCAAGTCAGGGCAATGATCTCCAGAAAGAGGGAATTTTATATAGGGAGAACAAAAAACTTATTGGACAGCATAATCACCCAGCACCAAATCACACAAATGGGTGTGATCTGTGAAGGTCAGATGATGTGTCCCAATGATATAACCTGTCACTATTAATGCTATAGAAAGCCTACACCTACAGGGTCCTGTAATGTCCAAGTACTCCTGTAGGTGGCGCAAGGCTGCCATAATGACCTGAAAGCCTTGCCAGAAGACAGATCGTGTATGGCGCTTTCTATGGCCGTGATGACGTGGGACCGGAGACTGGCGCGCTGAACATCAAGCTTCTAGGGGGTGCCGCGTGACACAGAGGTATGACAACATAGACCGAACCATCTAATAATCATCTCCAAGAAGATGTTTAGAGCTTGGTTCTTGTTGGTAAAGCCCTCTACAACAGAGCTTCCCAATTTTGATATAGACCAATCCATGTGTTTATATGTATATTTCATGTTTGTTCAATCACTTCTATTCATAAATCTGAAGAAAGGTCATGTATCATGCAGCTGCTGCTCACTGGCAATTGTTTAAATGTTCATTTTAAGTATTACAGAATAATACTGCTGTTAATTTAAATGTATAAATATTTTTGTTTTACAGTATTTTATCCTTTTGTAATATTTGTTCACTGCTTCACCTTTCTAACCTAGTTCTTGCTCTTCTCTGTAGCGTTCTAATTATTTACGATATCTGCTTCTCAGTGAACAGTTGGATACGTAGCAAATCGGAACATAATCAGTTTCAGACACTCATTCAAGTCAGCTGCATTTCAGTAACTTCAACATCAGAGCTTGGACAGAAAACAGATAATTAAATAGAAAAATTGACTGTAATGTTATTTGGTCGGTTTCTTTCTACTTGAAGCTTGTTTGCCTGTTTTGATCATTTTGTTTTTCTTAGAAGCATTTTACAAAAATTGTCTTTTATGTTATGAACTTTGCAACAACCCTTCCCCCCTTCCTTAGCACATGGCTTTATTATTGAGTTTAATCTGTGAGTGTACTTATTATTCATGTAGGAATTTCTTTGGGTCCTGCTCGTTGTGGTATTTATATATAAGGACATTTGGAGTCTATTGGGACAAATACTGATAATTACAGATTTTTACAGGGAATTTGTTTATACACCCACCTGTTATTGTTCAACCCACTTGGGGAACCCAGGTGCACACAAATTGGTGGGGTTTATAAGTCTGAATGGGGGTGGACTACATCTAAGCTCTTCTTCGAAAAAGTCCTGAGGAAGAAACCGGTCGGACACATACGGAGCCTCTATAACTCTCTCTTCACTCTATTTAGGACATTCTTATCCAGAACTTACTCCTTTATTACCCCTTGCAATCCGTAACCTTGGTGCATTCAGGAGCTGACTCAGAACATCTTGGAGTCCCTTAGTGACAGGTCTTCTGACCTATCAATGTGCCTTTTTGGCCACTGTTAGTGGTGGACCACTTGTGAGTGCAATAATCACCTTATCTTTTAGCATTATATCCAACAGTTTTACACTATGTTTTGTTTGATGTTTATGTTTTAAGTGATTAAAATTTGGACTATCATTTCCTAACTGGAGTACTACCAGTATATTTCAGGAGACCGATAACCAGTGTATGTATATTATCTCATTGGTGATCCTCACACATTCTTTTGCCTTTTGCGTTTTGACGATAAACCTGATTTTCATTGGGGGTTGAATAATTTTGATTACAACTGTATGTCTCAAACAGTTATCTCCTGAAGTCGAGTACCAGCAATAGAGATAGCCTTACTCAAAGCCTTTCAGCAATATATCTGTTAAACATATCCAGTTACTTTCTCATCTTTTAAACCCATATGTAAAAAATATAAGGTAAGGGAGGAGAAAAACAACGTATACTTTATTCAGTTACAAATTAGCCACTTACATTAACTCTGTATCAAATACACATCATAGACAGATCTCTCCAACTTGCTGGTTCTGTAGACTTCACGCCAACCGCTTGCTGAGATAGACACTAATATAGCAAATTCAGTACCTCTCATGGCGGTCAGTGGTCGAAGGAAATCTTTCAATTACACAACCATAAATGCCAAGAAAGTCCTGTAGACTTTAGCCAAAAGCATTTTGCTCATAAAAGGGAGATTTTTTGAATGGCGTGATATGATTTTCCTGGTGTATGCATGATTTAATTGGGGATATATCTACTAAATTGTAAAAAAAAAAAAAAAACTATGAAGAACCAAAGGTAGCAGTGTCGGTTTTCGGTGATCCTTCAATATTGATAGTTATGGCTCGCTTCAGGTATGATGTGGACCTTTATCGACAAAAGGTCACTCCGGGTCATTCTAAGCTTAGTGTGTCTTTATGCAATCTATAGCTGTATACGGAGCAGACCCTTCCGTTCCCAAATTACTTATAAATACTGTTTTAACCATTCTAGATGATAACTTGACTATCACTAAAATAATCCAGTGTCTGAAGACCCAAAAGGCACTGTAATAATATTGTAATAAATGAAACAATGACTCAAATAAATATAAGATAAAAGTGTATTGAATGAATGTTACAGAATGCAAAAATAGTCAGTAAATAATTAATCTTACCAAATGTATTAGTGGCTACAGCATATGTCCCTGTATACCTTTCAGATGTGTGGTGACAGCAGGCAGAGTAAGAGTAGATGGATGAATGAATGAATGGTGAATGACAACGTCACACTCTTTCTCCTTCAGTTAAATAGCCATTTTGTCCTCCATAAAGCAGCCCCCACCTGTGTAATACTCCCAAAAAGGTTTTCTAACTTGTTGCATGATGTAATGTATTGAATATCTAAGTTTGGGATATACCCTAGATGGCTCTGCCTATAGTTAGCTTCAAAATTAAGTGAAGTGTTTTGTATACATTTGACTGACAACACATGTGTTTGTTCTAATTTAACTTCAACCTTTTAGCTGTTAACCTTGTGGAAATGTCATTGAAAATTCAACTTTTTCAAATCTAAGCAAAAAGGCCTGCAATATTTCATACACCTATTTTATACAGCTAAATGTACGTTCATATTAGATATATATATGCACCATACCATATAATACATATATATATTGCAAACTACACATTAAATAATGATCAACACTCCACAAGCAGGTCTATTAACAAAGAAATAAAAATGCACACACCTTACGAATCCTAATACTGGGCAGAGGACATATAAAATAGGGCTCGACAAATCCCAGACACCAGGCCGCCATGGCTACTAGGATTTTTGTCCTGGCACCTGGGATTTGCTGGCGTATTAGCCCCTGAGGTGGTCAGCTGCCTATGAGTGCAGGCAGCCAGCGGCTTATAATGAGCATGGGCTTACTTGTGGTTGGCCAGTCAGCTCAGGAAGATCACGGGCATGCAGTCTGTCGGCCTGTTGAGGGACAGCATTGCCGTGCGAGCGGTCAGCCGGCTGGCTAGCTGAGGAAGAGGGTTATCTGTATACCTTACAACCATGACTACAGTAAGCTCGTTTCAGCAGGGTCCTCAACTGCCTATTGTTCCTGTTACACTTTTGTTATTGTCTCAATTGGTAAATTCCCCTTTTATTGTAAAGCACTGCAGAATAAGCTGGCACTATATAAATACCAATAATAATAATAATACAGTAAAAAAGCCAATAATATTCTCATGGATAAATTAATTGCCAAGGTAGATTGTTATGGAACACCCATGGATTGAGGTTTGAGGATTGGGCTAATGGGCTCACAAGAAATTTACTGACTCTCCTCTCTTTCTTATACAGAGTGGACCAAAATTCAGAGTAAAATTTGACAGGTAAATGACAGGTGTGTTAGTAGTTCAACTTATTTGTTGCAGGAACACATTATAACTGAGGCTTGGGAGATTCATCATAAGTAAATTCTCAAAGGAACAAGAAGTAAAAATAGGAGAATCTTATATTCAAAATGAAGACAGCTTTTTGGTGAACAAATAATGTCAAGAAACTCCCAGATTAATCAGCTGCCACACTTTCCCGACTTTTCAGCTCCCAATTACTTCCTATGGGAACACCTGAAGGAGCAGGTATACGTGAACATACCATGTACACTCAAGGCCGTTCTCAGGGGTGTGCAAGCTTGAAAGTTATACTGACTGTTATAGGGATTGGAAATTCTCTGAGGCTCCTCTCACCTCAGAGACAAAGGACCAGCGCTCCTTGCAGGGTTTTTTTTCTGTTAGATTCAGAGACAGAGAGTGAGCAGGGGGGATTTCTGACTGCCCACTGATTTGCAGGAGTTTCACTGTGCAGGAGCAGAGTGTGACATGAGAGGCAGAGTTATGCTCTGTCTCTCTACTCCCACACAGAGAATGGCTGTAACTGAAGAGCTTTGCGAGGGAGGGCACAGGAACATCAATCCTGCACAAAAATATTAAGTAAATAATATGGACACACTCTGGGTGGGAGGAAGGATACTGTGAGGGAAATAGAGATTGTGAGACAGAGTGACATTGATGAAGTGGGGAAGTGTCAGGTGGCTAAAGAAGAGACAAAAGGGGCTATAAATGGAGGAGAGACAGGGGCAGAATTATGATACAACAGAGGTAAAACTTTAGGAAGAGACAGGGTAGGGGAATGCAGAGACAACAGAGATTAGAAATTGGGGAGAGACAGCTGGGGATTGAAAGTGAGAGATGGGTGGATATGAAAGAGAGACAGCTGGGCTAGAAGAAGGGAAGACAGTTTGGAAAGTGTTAATATAAATAGTGATAAATAGGAAACAGGACAAGCTAGAATTGGTGGGGGGAGAGGGAGAGACAGATGTGGGGAAAATGAGGGAGAGGCACAAGTATGGAGATGTGTGTGTAGAGCATTAGTGACCGTTATAGCAAAGGATAGGTGATAGACACCAGTGAGGGACAAAAGTGCAAAAATTAGGGAGACAGATATCTGAAAATATGAGAATACACAAAACTGTAAGAAAAGGGCAAACTAGTTCAAAAAATAAATGCACATTTCCAGTCTCCAGTATTTACACGCACAGGACACCCAAACATTAGTTACAAACACACACAATTTCATCCATATATTTACACACATAGAAAATTACATTTCACACAGGCACTCGCCTACATTTAAACAATTGTGCTACGTAGACGTACTCTGAAATCACACACAATGACACTACAAACACACTGGCACTAGAGGGGTGGGGCCTGACCTGCAAACGGAGTAGTCGCATGGCAGAGGAGCTCCCAAAGCCATTGCTGAACTCAGGGAAATTTCTACGAAACCGATGCTTACCTTGAAGCCAGAATACGCTGCCCAGATTAAGGGCACTCTGGCGAATCGAACGATAACGGACACCGGTATTTCCCGCAAGTGTGTAATGGAGGTGGCCTGCTGCGGCCTACGGTGGATGGGGATGGTGGGAGGCGGCCGCTCTCCTCGCCTCTACGCTGAGGGCGCTTGATCACCGATTGCCCGCCCCTAGGACTGGTGGGGGTGAACCCGGTCCAACCCTGCCAGACACAAGAGCCACGTTGGACAACACACAATGCGGCAATTAGGCTTTGGTGGTTAGACGCCATCTATTCCTCACCAACCGCCAGACTAAGGGTCAATGGTCAGTTATCACAACCAGTAACCATCACCAATGGGACGAGACAGGGCTGTCCTCTTTCCCCTATTCTTTTCATACTAGTCCTAGAACCGTTCCTTCAGGGTATTAGAGACAATAACAACATACAGGGCTTTGAAGTTGACAAGCAAGAGTACAAAGTCACGGCGTTTGCCGATGACCTTTTGTTCACGATTGCGAACCCGCTCTTGACACTGCCCTATGTAATGGCAGAGATGGAAACATATGGTAACGTTTCCAACTTCCAGGCGAGCCTAACTAAATGCGATCTTTTACCAATTCACACCGCAAGAACCACGGACTCACTATTACAGTCTAAATTTAATTTCAATTGGGCACCGCTGTCAATTAAGTACTTAGGGGTTCACATCCCAAACAAGTTAGAGACGATCTATACACTAAATTTTCCCCCTCTCGTGGCAGTCATTACTAAGGATCTCCAGACATGGCACAAGCCATGCTTCGGCTGGCTATGTAGGAACAATATACTTAAAATGAACATCCTACCTCGTATTCTATATCTCCTACAGACTCTCCCTATTACTATCCCACGCACTTTCTTCAACACGATTAGGTCCATGTTCACGAGATATTTATGAGCACACTTATCACCACGTTTGGCCTACACCACCCTGACTAGAAGTAAGGAAAGAGGAGGAGTGAATCTCCCCGATGTTGAACTTTATCACCAGGCAATACACCTACAGAGGGTATACGAATGGACAAGACACGATCAAACGCCTTCTCCAGAACCCCATTATCCATCCGCGTCTGGTCGCATCCCGACTCTATTCCTTCACGAAAGGGACCCCATCACGGACACCCGACAATCGACACAACCATTAAAACGTGGCATAGGCTTAGACAAACTCTAGATTTCTCTCCAATCCCATCCCCGCTATACCCAATTACACATAATCCCCACTTCCAACAGGGGAGCTCGGGCAAAGCGTTCGAGCTCTATCACAAAAGCTCGACACTAAAACTGTGTGAGGTTGTTCAGGATGGTAAAGTTAAAACCTTGAACCACATCTTGCAGACTGACACCCCGACGGTATTACAACAATTACATTACCACCAACTGAAACACTTTATCAAGACGCACAACCTATTACCCGGGGGGGACAGGCCCTTAACGAAATTTGAACAACTGTGCTCATCTCACCCGTTCTCTAGAAAAGTTTTATCTACCATGTACATACTAATTAGGGAGTCACAAGCACCTAATCTCCCAAGCTTTACAGCTAAGTGGTCAGAGGAACTCAGAGTAGAGTTCACACGCCCACAGTGGCAATCCATCCTTAAAGCGGCACATAATACTACCATTTCGTTGACAGCGCAAGAGAGTAATTTTAAACGCATAACACGCTGGCACTATACACCAGCGAGAATCCGCATGATCCATGACATCATGCCCACGTCTGGTGGCAATGCCCGCAAATAGCGAAATTCTGGAACAGAATTCACACTGTCATTCTCAGCATTCTTCAGGCGGATTTTCCCTTAGCACCAGACCAATACATCTTTCTCTTACCCCCCCAGGGCTTATCAAAAGTACAAACAGCACTTTTCCATCACCTGGCCATGGCCGCGGCGCAACTAGTTCCTAAATATTGGAAGCAGCCTACCACCCCCTCGCTCAGGGAATGGATTCAGAGGGTGGAGGACACGAAACAATTAGAAGGTATAGTGCAGGCTAAAGTAGGGAACTATGGAAAGTACACCAAAACTTGGGCACCGTGGATTGCGTTCACGACACTAGAGCCACACTAGACAATACACCATGATCACCTCACGACAAAGGATAGGGGGCAGGGGGGGGGTGGCATCGGGCGAGGCCGCGGGCGTCCGGGAGCGCAGTGGAAACCGAGAACTGACATGGACGAACCTAGATGACTACGTATTAGTGACAATAGGGATGACCCAGGACTCAGTGGCACTAACTACGGCGTTACAGGTTTGAAGTAAGATGTGGGATATGAAAGGAACCGAAGCCTCCTCAAGGCTACACCAATACAATTAGCGCCCTATGGAATTGAGCAATACTTCACTGTTACTACCTAAGCCCACACTAGGGACTACTGTGTTCTGAAACTAACGCTGTAATATGGATCAGCCTAACCAGCCTGACTCCATGACACCCATACTTTCGCTGCCCAACGTCCTGAGTTTCACTATGTAACTATATTGTATCGTATATTACTATCTACTACCAGAGTTGAACCATTACTGATGCTTTTACTATGTATATTGTAACACGCTATGCCTACACCTTATACGGTATCACTGTAACTTTGCCAATCTTACATGACATATCTTTACTGTTAAAATATATGTCGGATCCAATGTATGCTTTACTTATGCTTCAAAATAAAAAAAATAAAAAAATTTTTTTTAAAAAGAGCCACGGCGGACACGGATGGCGGAGCCCCTCAAGCAACCCCCAGCCCCACAGACCCACACAATGGCGGACGACACTGATACCACCCCGAGAGAACCCACAGGATCCAGGTCAATCCTGCACGGCATTGAACACCGCTCAGCAACCGCTGAGTGGCAGACCCACACCGAGGTGCCAGAGCATGATGGAGTCTCGGGGAGCCAATGAGTCCCAGACAAGCACACCACCTACCTGCACTGTGATCTCAGGTACCCACAGCGATGAACAAACGTACCCACCCAACTGCCCTGCCTCTGCGAGACCCCCATGCGTCTCCTGCACTCTTTCCCCCTGCTGGGCATCGGATAAAGGACTCACACGGCAGGAACGCATGGGGGACACTGTTTGGTACCTCTGCCATAAAGAACCCTGGCTAGCCCACACTGCACCTCTTCAAGCCGAGAAAACTGTTCAACACTAAACTGTAAAGCTTGGTACTGCTCAAACGTTTATGCTCGCTGCATATATTACTGATACCTGCATGACATCATTGTGCCTTCTTATAACTGTGCTTCTAGATAGCCTGCCACCGGCCGATTTCAGGCGAAATAGCCTTAGTGTCTGGCAACTTACAGGTTGCCCTGACTCCTCTTCCAACGGAGTCCTTTAAGCAAGTATTTTATTTTGCTCGTATGTATGCATGTCCTATTAACGCTCCATGTCCACTCACTCTGCACTTACAACACATAGGACAATGGAAAGCGTGTAATTTAGCAACTTACTTACAAGCGGAGTCATAAGTCTGTCACCAAACATGTTTCACTTAAATTTTCACACTAAGCACAATGTTAAGCTGTATTGATGTTACTAACAAGACTATACTGAAGCTTAGTTGACTTTGCAAAAAAGTTCCTCTTGACTTGTTAAGCTAAAAATGTGCGCTAATATGCTAATATGCCTCATTTGTCAAACCTGTTATTCATTCATTTCTTGCTATAGCTGGCGAGGCATAGCGAGAATGCTTGTTACCCTCATGCGCTTTAAAAATAAAGAATTTGTAAAAAAAACACACACACACTGGCACTAGCAGGGGACAGGGAGTGGCTAAAGAGGGATGTGGCTGGGAGTGCTGTGAAAATATATTGCACAGGGCGCTTAAAGGACTAAGGCCAGCCCTGTGTACAATTGAGCAGCTCAAGGAGAATATCCGTGCAGAAATCTGAGCGCTAGAGACTCAAACATTAACGAATGTTATGAACTATAAACTAATCGAAAGAGCCCGACTTTGCGACGCAGCAAATGAAGCCAATTTAAAAGATGTTATCTTCTGTACCTAGTCAATCAAATCTCCATACATTAAACATTCATTGTATGTAATATCATGGAAATTGGTTTATAAATAAACAAAGTAATTGACTCCTCAAACCCTACTCTGAATTTTGGCCAACATTATACTTTCTCTACCACCCTCGTTCGTTTTTTATTTAACTTTTTTTTTTTTTTTTAGTTTGTTTTTGTTTTTCTTCCATTTTGATTCATTTGTAACTGTCTTGTTATGTCAAAATAAAATTGTATAATTGGCATATTTCAAACAGTTCGATGTTACACCAATTTTATGTGTGTAATGCCTTTCATATATAAAGAATGTAAAAAGAATTATAAAAAGCATTACACTGTTATTACAATTTCATTACATTCTGAGGAGCTCCCTTCAGGAGTGAATTAACAATGTAAATTCACCTGTACAAACAGCAAAATCATTTGGGACAAAGCAAACCCACAGTTTTATGCCAGTAAAGTAGTTGTAAAAATGTTGCATTTGAATCCTAGAGAATAGCAGAGATATTTTTAAGGTGACTGAGCACAAGCTACCCTCGGTAAATACTTTTTTTGTATGTAATTTCTGTGATATTTTAGCAACTCTTTGCAGATTTGCCTTTGATTAAATATATGCTATTATTTTAAGTTAATCAAGCCAAACGTTTGGTCTACATTAAATTTGCCTGCTGTCTGAGATTCCATGAAGATAGTTCTTCTCAACTAGCCATTAAAACCTAGCAGTAAAATTGATTTTCATGTACAATCTACATCTAATGACTGCAGAGACTCCAGACTAGCTCCATTAAGCGACGTGAAAAACTATTAGATAGTAAAATGTAAATTAGTTGTCTTAAATGATATACACAGTAAAAGTAGGAATAGCATGTCCTAGTTAAATGCATGATACACTTAAACCAAACCAATATAGAGTTTAAATAACTTTGCATTCCACTTTCGCATATTTTAATAATATTTATCAGAGTGGAATGTTTGTATTAGGTAGTTTTAAGATACATTCTTTCAATTTGTTGGGTTTATTAAAAAAAATTTTAAGAATCTGGTAGAACATGATGCTACAGAGATCAACAGAGGTATTGTCTGAAAAAGAGAAGTACCAAGTATTGTGTTCATCTTTGGAGGTATAACTGGCCATGTAGTTTCAATAGATTTAAATACTGCTTGGATTCCAGGGTTCTAGATTTGTTCTATCGGACTACTTTGTATCTAGTAAAATACAAAAATGTAAACTTTTTTTTTTATTAACAATTATTTCCTACCAAAGCTTAGAACTTCTTTAAAGTATTGTTTAATTGTAACTAGAATATGACAATGAAGTATATCCTACTCCCCGGCATCATCTGAGGCTGAGAGTGAACAAGAGGAGGATTTCCCTGCCGCCGGGCAAGCTCTACGGCCAAGTGCCCCCCAGAATCTTGAGGTGGAGGACATCAAAGCCTTTTTGTTGGATATTAAAGCTATGTTTCAATCGGATATGGCTGTGGTGAGGGAGAAGGTAGCCACTCTGACAGGCTGCATCCAGGCTATTGAAGAAGACTTGGAGGGCAAGCAAGTGGTACAATCAGCTACTGATGCAGCTCTTATCACTCTACAAAAGACATGTAGTGATATGGGCCTACGGCTGGTGAGATTTGAAGGCAGGTCTAAAGCCTGCAATGTCAGAATACGAAGCGTACCAGAGTCGGTCTCCCCAGAAGAACTTCCCCACTATATACAGCGATTACTATCTACACTAATGCCACGTAAATAGGCCAAGCAAGCCGCTACTGACCACTGCTTCTGACTGCCGAAGGCTGCAAAAGCACCCCTGGAGGCCTCTCGGGATGTGATCCTTCAATTTCAAAGAAACTCTGACAGGTTTGCAGTACTGGAGGCTGTGAGAGCATCCCATTCCCTAACATTTGAAGGATCTCAGCTTTCCTTTTTCCGGTACCTCTCCAGGTCGACGATGCAGTGGAAGCAATCCCTCCGCGCCACCACCAAGCTCCTATAGATGGGGCCCACAGAGCTTGGTGGCAGAAAAGAACGGCAAGAAGTTTCCACTTATGCAACTTTGAGATGCCCGGGTTCCCTCCAGGCAATTCCCAGAATAACCTACAGACATAGGGCAAAAAGGCCTGGGTAGTCGACGCAAACTACCCGTTTGTTGCAGGAAGGGTCCCGGCGGGGACAACAGATGCTCCAGCTTGAAACCATCTGAACTTTCATCTGGTTCACTCTTATAAGACCAAACAGCTTCTGATTTGTATATTTTAATGTTTACTTTACCTTATACATTTCTCTGGCTCCGTAAGATGCTCTAATTTGCCTTTGACCTGCTGTATTCCACCCTCCCCATACCTCCTCTTAAGTGCCACAGTTTAAGTTTATGGCCTAGTTTATTGAGACAGCCCATGGCACGCAGAGTACACAGCATGTGTCCTCACAATGAAGTCTGCAGGCAAATAGCTATACTAATAGTGAGACTAGCTTAGTATATGGTTTTCTGTAAAGTTTTTAATTAAAAAAAAAAAAAAAATTCAAATGCCTAAGACGCACTTACCACTTCTGATTCAGTTTACATGTCATTTGTTATACTGTGGGCCTATTCAAGGCTATAAGGTGCTGGTAGAGCCTTTTAATGTCCCCTACAGAGCCTTTTAATGTCCCTAGCAGATAATTTCAATGCCCGTGACAGAACCTTTTAATGTCCTTTACAGAGACTTTTAATGTCCTTAGCAGAGAATTTCAATGCCCCTGACAGAGTCTTTCAAAGCCCCTGACAGAGCCTTTCAATGTCCCTAATGTAGAATTTCAATGTTCCTACCTAACAGAGCTTTCTATTTCCCTACCTAACAGAGCTTTCTATGTCCCTAACTAACAGAGCTTTCTATGTCCTTACCTAACAGAGCTTTCTATGACAATAACAGAGCTTTAACTATCACTCCACTTTCTATCACTCCTCTACTACGAGTGATAGAAAATGGCTGACGGCAGGGCAGGCTGGCTGACTGCTGGATGGCTGGCTGATGACAGGGTGGGCGCTAGGTCGGGCTCTGGCGGCATAGCGTGCTGACTGCAAGGCTTGCTGACGGCAAGGCGGGCTTAAGATCGCACTCCCGCAATCACTTAGAATCTCTGCTGTTTCCGACCCTCAAAATGCCACAGAACCCCAATTGGGAAACGCTGCTCTATACATTACATAGATTTTTAACTATTTGGTGTTCGTTATAGTAGATATTCATTTAAGTTTTTTTGGGGGGTTGGTTTTTATTTTATTTATCTGATATATATAGAATTTGTGTTTACCTATGAACAAATACAGACTAGTTCTCCTCTGGGATACACTTCATTGTCATATTCTAGTTTCGTTTTAGTCTTTAGGGGTTACCCCCCTTTCTTTCTGTTGTATTGTTTTATTGTTCTTAATTATAATCAGGGTGCTTGTAGGCAATACCAACTTGAAGCTCTCCCCAACGTCTTCCAAAAGTTGAAAAGTAGCTCGACATATATGTTTTAAAAAACAATTTTTAATAGAAAATTCTGAAAGAAAATGACCATAATAAACCATAATTTCATTAAAAAAAAACATAATAGCCATTATAAACAATAAGTGATACAATTCAATAGTAATTCAATAGAGATGCAAAAACATGTGATGGTTCATTAAAATACACACACGTATATTCAAACAAAAACACACGCATACACACACAAAGAGAAATTTTAAGACATGCAATAGTTCATTAAAACTAAAAATAAACACACATACATACACAAAAACTACATATATGTAGAATACCTCAAGTTACGTGAACTATATGGAACATCATACAAATATACTATTAAGATGGCACTTTACTTTGGTAAGACTTTCTAAAGTCCTCCACAAATGACCCCACCATGTTGTAACAACCCAACTAGTGGTCTTTTTCTTTTTGAGGTGGCTTACGTGAAGACCATCTATTGGAAATCGGCGCCCATTCTGTGACTCATCTGGTGGTAAGAAAGATAGTGACAGGGAGACAGTGATTTTTTTTTTCTAATTGTTTGTGGATTTTTTGCTGAGTTTTTTTCTCTGTTAATTTATAAATGTTTTTGTTAATTAAAAAAAAAAAAAAAAAAGGATTTCCTGTACCAGTTCTTTTCACTTTTAAAGAGGTCAAATTATGTAAATTATATAACATATTGGTTAGGGTACAATTACATTTTGCACAGAATAATTATTGAGATGAAATGCACTTGGTATTCATTATTGTGATATATTATATTTATCTGGATCATGTGATCAGGGCCGCCATCAGGGATTGATAACTATGAAGGTTGTCACCGGCCCGGTGCCCACATATAGCGGCAGAACTGCACCGGGTCCCACACGCTGATAGGGCCCATCGGGTAGCCCAAGCATTTAGGGCCACCCAATGTTCCTTTAATATTCAAGTGCCCGGTCAGCACTGCGGCCATGTAATAACGCAACCGGTCCCCTTTAACCCCTTAAGGACACATGACATGTGTGACATGTCATGATTCCCTTTTATTCCAGAAGTTTGGTCCTTAAGGGGTTAAAAATACTGGGAGGAAGTGACGGCTGGTCACTTCCTCCCAGCTCACTCCGCGCAGGAGAGGAAGCAGAGTGGACACCGCGAGGAGGGGAGAGGCAGCCGACTCCCATCAGCCTCAGCCACCCTCCTGCACTGAAAAAGTAAGAAACAGGAAGGTGGATGAAAAAGCCACCCTCATTATTGTATTCCTTTAAATACTATAAGAAGATAGAGAAGAGCACAATTTAAACCAGCACGTGTTGTTT